TAATTTAGTCTATTAAAGAATAACAAACTTATATTCAACGTAGAAGTGGAACACCTTTTTAGTGAAAACTATCCATTTTTTGAATAGAACCAAGTCACCAAGCTAATATAATTTTGAAGTGCTTATCTGTATCAAAGTCACGATATACTTTTTAAAACTTCTAGTCCAATCTATTTCGATACGTTGCCAACTCATACAGGACTTTAGATCTGTTAATGCTATTAAATCACTGTTGCTTATTGGCCAATCTTCTATACCATGCAGAAGAACAGGCATGCTCACAGAGAGAGTGTTTCCTAATTGCTAACTTAATCGAAAGAAGCATTTAATAGCAAGAGTGATTTTTCATTGAATCTCAAATCTGATTTCATATTTGGTTCTTACACTGAGGTCCTATATTATGTGAAACTTATATGATTTCTTTTGAAAATTTAAACAAATTAAAATTCAACTGCAGGTTTATACTATTTTTGTACTTATTATTGTACGTTTTTAAAAAATGGCTTATGTCTCGAGTTAATCGTGATTGAGTAAACTATTTATCTAACCCTATTTTCTAATTTACAATTCTTCTTCTTACACTTACTCACTATTAAAGTCTCGATGTGGTAACACATGTTAAAAATCATTTCAATAGTATAGATATTAGACAAATCTTAAAACAACAAGCTCAAATAAGTTGTCATAACTTTAAAAAAAATGCATATGCAATATTGATAAGTCGAAGACTGAATATGAAAAGATGTAAGAAGAGCTGATCAAACAAAACTGCAAGTATCTTGTATGAGTGATGATTTCAAGTACAGTAAGCAATCATTAATCATTCACTGTGTAAGCACTCATAAGTAATTATTTTCGAATGTCAGTCATATATCTAACATATACCGAAAATACACAAGTCTGCTGAAAATATTTTGCACTCCGAATTTAATAAAGAAAAATCAACAATCTTCCCTTTCTCAACTTTGGCTTTACCTTGTCTTGACACTTTTCAACTGACGTATTCGTTGTAGATTTTCTCTGCGAACAGCTGGGAAAGCTCACACATGAAACACACGCTAATGCCAATGAAAGTAAACCAAATAATTTTCCTAACCTCTTACTTAGAGTTTGTGTTTCTGTTTCTGTTTCAGTAAGTCTCTGTAACTCTAACGTAAGTACTGGTATGCAAATATTTAATGTGTTCATGCCACAGATTGTGAAAGTTCATTATTTGGTGGAAATCAATTTACAAGCAACGCAAAGTGAAAAACTTTGAATAAAGACCGACAGCGAATGAAAAACTTTTACTTAATTTCTGCTGTCCTGAAAGCAAATGGATTAGATAATAAATGAGTATGTCGAAATGAAATAAGAACATTAATTTGAAGATTTGTTGACTGGTGATATATGAATCTTAACATATATCAAAAAAAAGTTTCTGAGTTTCATTTGAAAAATATACACATGAATAAAAGAAATAATACACTCCAAAATCCACAAGACGTCCTTCATGTCATAATTATACCTGTAATGTAAAACCTTTGAGCATTGGGAAAAGTTGAACTTTGAAATCGTAAGAATATGTGTATATCGGAATATGTACCTATATGATATAGAATGTGATTTCAATTAGAATTCAATTAAATATTTTAATGTATGAAATTTGTTTCATTTCCTTCTAAATAATTGTCATAATTTTCATCGAGCACTTATAATTGTAGAGGAAATTTTTCTTAAAAACTAACGTTGTTTCATTAACCTGTCAGTGCCCATGCTTTTGCGACATATAGAGCCACAGGTAATATGAATAATTTGTTCAATACAAATTTTATGTATCAAGAGCGATATTTGCATCTTAATTAGCAGTTGAACCTATAACTGCCAGGCTGAAATCGTCATTAGTAATTTAAATATTTTACTTTGTATGATGGAAACTTAAACTTTCGAGAGTGAATTCTTTATCCCAGTTGTCTATTGCACATATATATTTCATATATTGTGTTGTTACTGACACCGTCCTAAATATAGTCGCTAGCAGTTATAGACATATAGTGACCAATGCATATTCATGACCAGATTTGCAAACTATTGCATAAATAATATAAACATATGTCCTACAAATAACATTTTCCATATCAAAATGAGGGCTTTACGGAATAAGGGTTTATTTAGTCTCTTACTGCATTAAAATGTTTGAGTTGTTTGAAAGTAGAAACATCCACAGTTCTAGGATAACTACTCTCAGTATCCTGTAAATGAGAAGAGATAATGCGATCCCTTATAGGGCCGCTGAAAGTTATAGTTTTTCTCACATTCGGCTTGTACAGATGCATTAGCTTTGATATTTATACAGTTTAGATATTGCAGCAATATCGCATTCTTTATACGATTCTTGAAGATTGGTTCTATATTCATATATTTTAAGATATAACACATTGCACGTTATGGATCGCAACCATTTGCGCGGCTTATCTAAACGTAGCTTATCTTAGATCGAATCTTTTTAAATAAAGGAAGCAAAACCACAATTACTGCAAGGACGCCAATTTACTTTATCTTCAAATCAGAAAAAGGCTTCAGTTTTTCTTGTGACTTATTGTGGTTAGGACTGCAAACTACTTACCGATGTGTTCAGTAGTCACACCATTTGCACTTAATACTTCCTTTTTTTGACTTCGCTGACAATAGCTTTTATCGACACTGACTTCAAGAAGTTCATAGCATGCAACATTTTTTATGCTTTCGTTCTACTCCTGTTAAGACTCTGGCTTAAAATTCTCGATTCTGACGTTATAAGTAGCTTAAATATTAGTTACCTTACTCTTGTGAATTTTCTTTGTTTCCTGTAAAAATGTACTTCATACCATAAGAGATTGTGTGGTCGAAATGCTATGCAACTTTCTACGAAATATTACTTCATTGTTAATTTTTTTTTGCCGAGAATGATGCGTCTCTATGACCAAATGAGACTATTTAAACTACTTACTGATACGAATAGCAAAGAAAAGACAAGAACAAAAATTTTATTAATTTATTAAAATTTGGCTGACCATACAACGCCGTTTCGAGTATTGCTACATTCTCTTTCAGTGAATTAAGGTCTCGTATTGTAGCTTTTGTTGCTTTCCAACCCCAAAAGGTAAACAGTAATGGAACAATATAGTCCTAAGCTATACTGAAAAATGAGTTAATCCATTGTTGCAAGACTTATTACAATACATAAAAAAAATATCTATATTCGAGTGCGAATTCTTGTTCACTGATAATATGACTAGGCCTAAAGTTGCAGTGATGTGTTGACAGGAAATTTCAAACTTTTGTGGGGAACTGCAAAACTAGCATGTGAGACATGAGAGGATATCACCTACCAGAGTAACAACTAGTCTCATGTCTAAAGTATGATTTACAAACCAAAGCCTCTTTAGATGTGATCGCTGCTCGAGTGGTTCGTCTAGGTGCAATTCCTTGTTCAGCTATATGCGGTGCGAGCGAGCTGCGATGGTCGCTCATCACACAAATGATTCTTGATCCCGGTGATCTCAATATAGTCTGCGCGAGTAACTGTGGAATTGCCGACATCAGATTTGATCAACTAGCCTCTTTGTTGTTGGAAGGATCTTATGGCGCACTGCTCAAATAGTAGCAATTACGAGTGGACATTGAGGAAGAAAATACGCTACCTACCTAACATTCGACTGACGACCATTAAGTAGGCAGTATTCCACTAATATACTTTCGCAAAAAGGAAGTAATCTAGTACAAAATCAAAATGAATTTATGTGAAAGTGCATTTCGATTTGTTATTCCGTTCTAAACAAATGCATATATACTTTTACGAAAATATGCATTAAAATTTGAATATCTACAAACTGAAAACTGCTCTATAGTTATTCCTTACAATTTGCTTACTTAAATAAATAAACTTACATACTGAACGTATTCAAGTTAATATTGATGAAGTTTTATGCCAAAAACAGTAAAAATACCTTACATTGTTGATTGTTGTTTAAAAATAAAATTTATTTTTAGGATAATAAATTATTTAAATGCATTTTTTTAAGTTTCTGTTTGTAATTCTCATTTGTATTACTTCAACAAGTAATTGAGCTCACTTTAGCAATTTTCCTTTCATTTCTCTTACAAGAATTTTATTTGGAAAATTATTGTTATCCCCAAGGATCAAATTACAAATTGTACTTTTTGTATTTTCTAACTTCCTTATCATATCTTTGTTATAAGTTTTAATATTTGTATTTTGTACTTATTGCATTAAAATTATTTTTATTTTTAATTTTCAACTTTTAATAGAACTCCGAACTTCTGAACAAATTCTAAAACAAACAAAATTGTTTTAAATGCAAATATTCTTAAATTCAATGCTGTTCATACGAGTAGATGGAAATTATTTAAAGTATTTTGAAAAATTTTGAACAAAACAGAAGTATCTATACAAATTTATACATATATAAATACATATATACATATATTTTATTTAGTAACTTAGGAATATTGTAATTTGAAGTTTACGTTAACGTGGCAGGATACTTCATTTTCTCTTGGCAGCAATTTTTGA